ATCATGAATATGGTGGCTGCCATCTTGCTTTTTTGCTGCCAGATTCTGCGCAGTAGTGACTAAAATTGGAATGACATCATTGGGCCGCCGATCAAAGCTGTCAAATCAACTGAAATACCTCTTTTTATATCATTAGTAACTTATTAAAAACAAACTTATGAGAAACACGGCCACTTGTGGACACATCCACGTGATAATATCTACAAACACAATAAAAGTGACCTCTGGGAAAATATTACTTTATTTGTACTGTTTGAGTTTTTAGTGTGGCTCATGTCCCATCCACTAACATGGAGGAGGCGGGATTTATGATCTATACTACAAATATCCACCAGGGGGCGATCACGTTTTGGTGGCTTCCCTGCTGGGCACTGTCAGCCTGTCCATCGTTTTAGCTGAAACACTCAAATATCCACAATGTATTAAAATAATATTGCAATGTTAAATTAGTTCACCTTTGTGTACCCTTTCTAATGTGTGCCACCAATGTAGACATCGATAAAACCCTTTTACAGAGGCAGAACTGCTGTCCTCTGCATATGAGGCCATTAAAGGTCCTCTTCAGTCATGCATAAAGACATAACCTTGCTTTGATTAATAAACCGTATCCCATGGTTTTTCCACAAAAAACTACAAAAATCCCCAAAGCTCATCAATTTTTTTTCTTTTTGAAAAACAGATCTTTAAACATGTAAATATTATTCAGTATGTTCATTTTACTCAAAATAAGACGTCTCCTACTTCAACATGACACCCATTCTCATTGCATGTGTGCTGCATATCACACCTTTTTAGTTGCTTATTAGACAGTTATTAGCTTCCCAAATATTTGTCACAAATCATGTTCATACATGCATGTCTTGAAGTTTTAAAGCGAGGTCAGAGAAAGTTTCTTTGTCATGTCAAACTCTGCACATGCTTTATTCTGACCAGGAAACAGAGGATGACACTGTGGGCCAAAATATAAGCAAATCATTTTTGCCCCCCCACCACTACCAACAAAGTCCTGACCAGTATCAGCCAAAAAACAAAAAAAAAATCCCTCCCCTCCTTGTGACGGCTCTAACATTATTTTGTATAGTCCCATAATCGAACCCATTCAGGTAAACTCACACTTTTTTGTGCCTCTTGTTCTTCACACTCTATTGCTCTCATTCCCCTTGTTCCCTCTTCCTTAATTATTGGTGGCAAATAGAAATTAAAGATAATTAAATGACAATTATCATCTCCTACACAGGGGAGTTCTTGCTAAGGGGAATAACTTAGTAGGTTATTGTTAAGGTCATTAATTAAATACTGGAGCCTAAGGCCACAAACACACCCGTATTAGATACTGCATTTTTACTGTAAGCCCTTCTGGACATGTATTTGCCTCAGGAAGTAGCAGCATGTTGATAATGTTGGAAGGTCATGCTACACACATATGCGCAATCACAATCACTTGTTTGCTTGCACATTTAAATCCATAATATATACATAAGCTGCACTGTGATTTTGTCATTTGACAATTTGCATAATAAGGAGCCTGAATGCAGAGTTACAAGGCTGAAGCTAATGGAGTAAGTGAGGGGAGCATTAGCGGGATTCAGTAAGATTGGACTAAACCCATCCTGAGATGAACTGGAGAGGAAATGTGCACACACACACACGCATACTGTAAGTACACATCTAACAAAACACAACACACTGTCTTTCCTTCCATCTGTCTGTCTCTCTCTGATGCAGTGGTGTTTTGGGTCTCACAATGCAAACAGGATGTAACCTATTTTGATCACAATGCCATATTGCATCATTAAATATTAACAGACATGACTGCACTGCATTATGCCTGTTAAATAATGTTTGAGGAAAATTATGTGCTGCTTTCCTTTCACATTTTTCTCTTCAGTTTATCAAGAAGAGACACTGACACCCTTTTCTTGTGTATTTATAAGTGAATGTGTGTCTGTGTCTGGAGAATCTGTGTCGCAGTGGTCACACACTAATGTACTGATATAGTGCATTAATGCACTGATCTGTCTGTCTGGAGTCAACGCTAGTGACTTATCATTCTCCCTTCTTTCTGCCTCTTTCTTTCTTCTCTCTGCTTTTGCTTCTCTGTCCTCTCCCTGCCTCTTTCTCCCTCCATCTCTTGCCCCTCTCCTTCCCCCCTCCTCACTCTATGCTGATCCAGACTTTGGAATTCAATGTTGCTATGGTAACAATGTCGGGTTGGTCCTCTCTGCCTCCCCCTCTTGCTCCTCTTATTCTGACTAGAAGCAGTACAACTTGCTCTGGAATTATTCTGTCTTTAGCCTGTACTAATGCCACTACTATAATTAATCAATCTGTCACAGTATGGTTCTTCATTAATAAAATAAAGCACCGATTGGCAGAACATTAATCAGCAAATGGTTTTATAATAGGTTAATCATGAAAGTCATTTTCAAGCACAAGATTAAAAGTCAATGTCCAAGCTATGGTTCTGCTTGGCTAGTTAGGCATATAGTGGTGCTTTGTGGTAAGTGTTAGCATCTGCATGCTAACATGCTTACAATGACAACATTAATAGGTTTATTTTAACCAGTATCACACAATTTATTAATTTGATCCAATGTTGGAACTCAGTGGATCCTGATTACATGATATCAATTCATCCCAAGGGGTCTGTGAGTGTGTTTATCAAGTTTAATGGCAATCTATCCAAAACTTGATATTTCACTAAAAGTAACAAATGGCAAGGCCATGGTAGCGCTGCAGAAGTCAAGAGGCTCACCAAAAACAATATGATACATCCTTTGGAGACCTCCAGTATCTGTAGAAAATTTCATGGCAGTTGATCTGTGAGGGTGAAATCTCACATCATGTAGAGGAACTGACAGATTATCAATGACATCCCTAGAGCCATGCCACTAGCATGGCTAAACAAAAAATGGGGGGAAAAAAATTAATTATTTTTATTTTAAATATTGAAGTTTAATCATGTTTTGTTGTATTATATGTGATTGTTGTAAATTAACTTTTCACATGACATCACACAACGGCCATTGTTCCTCAGATGGGTGTATCCTCGTTTCCCCTGGTCAGCATAATCATCAAGTTCATACAGTACAAAGCATCTGCCACAGACATTAATGGATGATGTTTAACAGATTGTGAATATTTCTTCACAGTGACACTGGTCAGGCCTCCCCTTTAAGAGCTTATGGTCAATGTGATTGTGACATGACATGGGAAGCAGTGCTATCTATTTTGGGGAAGCAGTAATGTGCAGTAATGTAAGTGCTACTAAGGGTGGAAAAACATTCAGTAGTTGGCTAAAAATGTATATAAGTTTGCAGTGGAGTATACAAAGCATAAGAGGGCAATATATAAAATAATATGTTCACTGACAAGGCAGAATAAAGCCCCCGTTTGAGCAAAGCCCGCTCTGGGTTCCTCTTCTCTTCATGATCAGATTAAGTGATGATGATAATGCTGGTTAGTCACAGCTATGATAACATGGTCATGCATTTTAAATTCTTTGGAATAAAGGTATTATTTTATTATATTGCTCCTTTTCATCTTGCAATATCATTGCCTAACCTCACTAAAATCACTAACACAGTGCACAATGTCTTCTGTTTTATTTCATGTGTAGCAGCAGAGCTGTGGCCATGGGTTTTCTCGTTCGAGCTTTCTGCTAACAGTGGACGAACGGAGAACGGGACAGCTGCCCAAACCACAGCCTCTACCAGGACCAACTTTGCAATAAGGGAGAGAGAGAAAGAGAAAGAGGAGATAGAGGGAGAGAGGGGAGTGGGTGAAAACAGTCGATGGATGCTGTCCGAATTGAGGGGACAGAAAGTTCTTCACTGACGAGAACAAGAAAGGTTTCAAAATTGAGTCGAAGGATAGAAACTCGCCATCAGGTAAATCTCACTTTGGCATAATTTAGGCAAAATTTTGCCTCATTCTATTACAGTCTTGATTAGTATCAGTTTTGGCAGCATGAAAGGAAAACTTCTGATGTTGAAAGTTCTGCATGGCCTCAACTGCAGGACACTGAGGCCACTTTATGGCAGCACACATACACCTGGGTCAGAGTCATGAGTTTTAAATATATAATGCTGTTTGTGTGAAATCCTACATACATTTTTGCATGTAAAAGGTGCATCCACATTGCCTACCCATAAGGACGTTAACAGGTACAAGGTGATCTGCTGTGTGCTGGGGGGAGGGGGTCATTAATAATAGTAGACTGATATTTGGAGGGTGTGATCTGTTGTGTTTCACATCAGTTCTGTCTTGTTAAGTGGAGTCAGCAGAATCATCCAGCTCTCCTCCAAGGACACATCATAAGGCCACTTATGCACCTCCCACATCCACCTCCTCTTCTCTCTCATCTTTTCTCATTGCCTCTGTCTTTCCCTCCCAGCGGTGCCCCTCACCTCTTCCTGCCCCTCATCATCTCACCGGCATGCCTACTGTCTTTTTCTTAAATAAACTACACTTTGTCTGCAACTATAAACACACTCTTGCTTGGTTGGTCTATTTATTCCAATCTCAGTGTCTGTCTTTTCTTCTTCTCCTTCCTTCTGTCCTCCTTTTTTCTTTACCTCTTAAAGGTATGGTGTGTGAGAAGGGGATCCAGATCCTCCTCACCACCGTGGGGGCATTCGCTGCCTTCGGCCTGATGACGGTGGCAATAGGGACGGACTATTGGCTGTACTCCCGTGCCCTCATCTGCAACAGCACAGCCAACATCACCCAAGATGATCCTCATAACAAAGACAAGAAGGACCCTGGGGCCCTCACCCATTCTGGATTGTGGAGGATATGCTGCCTGGAAGGTAGAGAAGAAGTCAAGATTCAAGGTTCAAGGATTTTATTGTCAATTCACCATATGTGCAGGACATACAGAAATCGAAATACCGTTTCTCTCTCACCTAGTATTGGGTGCCATAACATTTAGGAACTAAAATAGAATAAGGTAGAATAAAAATAGAATAAAATAAGAACTGGATTGACATAATTAGGATAAATCTAAACGGTACAGCCATTAAGCTGCGACTCAAAACCATGTACAGTCAGTGACAGTAGTGCAAACAATAATAGTAGAAAAAGTCATACTGGGTCTAATGGTAGAATTTGGACTGATTCAGATACACTTGGGAAACAACTTTACCTTGGTTGAGGCTGATAATTTCAGGTTAGATCGTGCATGGAGGTTTGTATAAGACCATACTGCCAACTTTTTCCTATTTATAGCATTTAATATAGATCCATATCTTGTTACTTCATAACATAGGAAGTGAAGAATGAACTGGATTTTTTTTTTGTGATCTAAACTGTTAAATGTTCTTTCAAGTCTTATTGATCTTATGTCAGCTCAGAAAAGGGAGAGTTGTAGAGTAGGAGGAGACATTTGGGGCATTATTTCCATTGCTTAAATGGGCATGAAACCATCCTGAATTAGTAGGTTGCTTCATTTTAATTCAAAGGAACAAACCTGTGTACACAAAAAAAGATAAAGTGAGGAGTAAACCACAATTCAAAAGGCTAATGGTTACTGGAAGATTATTAAGAATATTGAATAAAACATTTTTAAGTTGGGAATGCAGAGTAGGGAAAAATACTTCCAAACCAGCAGCTCCTTTCACTTCACAGCTCTGTGGATCATATTTGTTCCAGTATTCCTTGTGGAATAAATCAGCTTTGAGCTGTGATGGTTAAGATTTGTGTGATTCAAAGTGATGCTTAGAGTGGGGTCAGTGGCGGGTGACAGCAACTAGGTCATTTATCTGCTGCTATATAGATGGCAGATGGATTTACTTATTAAACTACTGTATGCAGATCATCAAATCTTTGAGGTATCCATTACAGTGTATTTAGATTTGTTCTCATTGCAAACTTTTGTCTTTTGCCTCAACACTCATCAGAATTGAACTGGTGGCACAGGACGCTAAGCGTCATCTGAAGTAAATCACTGTGTTTTTTAAATTGCATGTGTAGTTTACTGTGCAAAGTGGAATCAGTGTAAACAGGAATAACACCTAGGCTGAAGCTCGTAAGCGGCAGCCTTTCATCTGACCTCGGGAAACTTTCATTAGAAAACTGCAGCACTGCTGTTATAGGATCAGTATATACACATTGCTATTTGTTAATCCATGCCATAGTGACAGAAGACAATTATAATGCAGTATAATTACAGGATACTGAAGCGTAACCCTCAGTCAAAATAATGCATTAATCACTGTCTTTGATTCAGGTTGCAGTAATTTAATTCAAGTGCTGAGACAAAAGGCCGACATTCACCCTGACGCCTACTGAGTTCTTATTCCAGGCAGCGGAAAATACAGAAACTGGCAGTAGCCATCTCTCAATCTTCAGTTTGTCATTGCAACACAAGATCCTAATTCATTACACAGCCTGGCTCACACTCAGGAGTGAAGGCTGGGATAGAGTTAACAGTGAAACAGCTACAGCCAAAGGGGCGGTGTGAATTAAAGGTTTGTGTCTTTGCTTATATACAGAGTGAGGAATGGTAGCGTCTCTCCTGTCTTTTGGAAAACCTCTTGGCTTTCCTTATGAAGCTGCCCCAGCCATTCCTGGGCTGTACAAAGCGAATTTGTCCTCTTCTTCAAGCTTCCTGATAGCACAGCAGCTAATTAGAGATAAGCTTTAGCCCTTGCAGCTCTGCTGCAGTGCACCCCCACCCACTCCCTCCATTGCCTCACCCATTCTGTTTCTTCACTTGCCTTCCCTTTGTCTCACTCCCCTAAACATTACATTTCAGAGAACTGACTTCTCTTCTTCATTCCTTTCTTGTATTTTCCTCTCTTTGTCAGTCTTTTCTCTCACACTGTGGTGCAGCACAGCTGACAGTGTCTTGGCATGGCTTGGAGGTCAAGTATCCTTGATGTCTGTGGAATATTCAGCCCAGATAGATGCTCAGTAGTTGTGCAGTAATGCAGTGAGGTGTGGCTGGAGTGGAAATGCAGGACCTGCTAGCCCTAAAAGATTTATGTGGAGGTGTGTCCTCCCCTCTTTTCTTGCTCCTCTGCAGGTGGAGTTGCACTGAATTACTGTCAGTAATAATTTTCTTTTATTTGTAGGATATTTGCTCATAATGCACATAAAACTGCAAACCTCATATAGCTAATAGGACCATTTTCATTCAAGTCATTAAGAGAATAACAATTCAGTCGTCCAGTGGGGGTATGTAATTCAGGGCTTTAATTCAGGAACTGAGGTACATGTACTTATGATACTTTCTACTTCAGCATCACTACATATCAAACATGCATGCTTTACTTTCTACTCTACTACTTAAGTCTGACAGATGGAGTTACTAGTTACTTTTCAGATTCATATTTTACATACATAACTTTGGTTATATTTATAAACCAGTGCATTGTTCTATATTATACCAATGATTTCCAATCTTTTTGGCTTGGTGTTGTGTTAGGGCTCTTATCAGAAATCTGTGCAGTATTTCTACTGGTAACACTTCTCAGTGGTGCACTGCCATGCCAAAATGTTTGCCCTCATGGCAAAAAATCAGTCCAGCCAATCAATCATTTAATCAAGTGCCTCAAGCCGTTTTCACACATGGACTCCGGACTATATCTGCGGAATCAGGCCCAGACATATAGTACACAACAGGAGGTAGTTCATGCCATGTGTTCTCACCTGCTGGATTCCATTTGTTTTTTGTGCAGGAGATACACCTGGTTAGAGCGCGCGGGAGGTGGAATATGATGGTCATCCATTTAGCCAGTTTGTAATTTGGTCATAAACAACTGAGTCTCTTACCTTATTTGACAATTTCATCAACAAACCCACAAGCTCAGTGTGAATACTCCAAACTATACGTAGCTGCTTTCTCACATGGGGTCACTTCAGCTCACTCAGACCTTACGTGGACTTTGTACTATGGAGCTGGCAGAGTAAAGTCCTCTTACGGTGTGGGTTGACTGAATAGGGCATTTGCATTCTCACATATAGCTCTCTCCTGCGTAATGTCTAAAGAATTTCAGGGTTCCAGTGCATGTCTGAAAGAGGCTTCAGTGACTCGCCCGGTAAGTCCGTAAAACAGCACGGTAAGTCACATACACAGGTGCAATTAAGGCCAATTTACACGGAGCGTGTTTTTGGACGCAGTGTTCACGCAACAGATGGAACTCCAATCCATGAAATGTCTCCTTGACACACTCGCTTCACTCAAACTGTGCTTCAGGTCTATTTTCTCTGGTACAGTGTGTACAGTGTAATCTCCACAGACTGTTGTTTTTGGCACTTCAGCATTGGCTTCATTTCTCAGCCTCGGAGGCTGCCACTTGCCGCCGCCACACCAAACCTCTTGAGCCACATGAAACACTGCTATGAGCTCCACCAAAGAGTGATTTCCCCTTTAAACCTTTTCAGTGGTTTATTTAAAATTGTTTAAAGGCTCAGTTGGGTAAAGCTCTCCAATATTTTAACAAAAACCTGAAATCTTGCAAAAAAAGTCCTAAAGACAAATACAAATTTGTACAGATAATTTTTGCTTTTTCTTTTTCCAATCCCAATAACCCTCCCATGAAGCTCAGATTTATCTTATGACACTTTGGCAGAGGTGGCTAAGAACCAGTAAGTTACACTATATAACTGTAAATAAAGAAGTTAAAAGTAGCTCCACTTCAACCAGGTACAACAATAAAATGCTTGTTATATTATATAATGTACTTTTACTATTTATACTTTCAATAGCTCACAGTCCTCTGATAACATTTCTGTACTTTTATTTAAGTATTGTTGTACTGAAGTAAAGGATCTGAAAACTAGTTCCACCACTGCAGTCTTCCAACCTACTTTTAGAAACTTGAGGTAATCTGTCAAAAATGCTACCTTACACTAAGGTTTTGCAAAAAAAAATACCCTGAAGCTGCATGAGTGTCAAGGCATGTTTCACCTGAAGCAGTCTGGGATCTGTTGAGCCTGTGCCTGAGGATGTCGACACTGATCAGTGTGGCACAAATGATTTCCTGCCTTTTTGTACCTCCATCTGTTTCATTACAGACCAACCTGTGGAAACATAAGAGCTGCAAGAAAGAGACCAGCTCATCCCACTACTGTTTGTCTCTCACTTCATCTGTGTTTCTTCATTCCATCACTCCATCTCTCTCACAATCCATCCATCAGCGACAGTGGTGTGCTGTCATCATTGTGCGTGCATCCCTCCGTTCCGTCTGTCTGTGTACATGCAAGACCCTGGCGGGTATTTATCTGTCTGTCTGTGTGTATGCATACTTGTATGTTACTGATTCACATTTCCTAGAACAACCATTAACTTGTGTTCTGTATCAGTATGCTGAGGTTTAGTATCAGGCACATGTACTTAAATTAAACAAAGGATTTTCTAGTATGGATATGAATGTGTCCAAGTGTCAGTCAGTTTGCCTCTCAGGAGAACGTTTGCTGTTCTCTTTTCTTGAGGTTGCTGCTATGAGTTCTTGTCTTTTGCTCTTTCTGATGTCCTCTGTTTCTTCTCTCATATCTCAGGAGTGAAAAGAGGAGTGTGTTCTCAGATCAACCACTTCCCAGAGGATGCAGACTTTGACCATGACGGGGCAGAGTACGTCCTCCGTAAGTCAATAGCCGCATTACCAGACATTGGCGATGAGAGGGAGAGGGTAAGCTTTGCTAAGAAGATGAGAAATCAAGAGAAAATGAACCTATAGCTGCTCTTCATTTAATTTTAAACTTGGTGTTTGTATTGCCCATTCCTCAGATAATAATCCCAGTAAAAAAATAAAGATGTGACAATGTGTACAAAAGTCATGGGACATGGTGTGCCCTAGTTAGTACTCAGTGCCCTGCAGTGATTTCTTTCTGCTGTATGATATGCTACGTGTGTGCCTGTCCACACATAAAGAAAAAGCTTGCGTTCTGTGTGTTGTGTTTGCGGAGGCATTTTGCTGGCATTTAGATGGCATTTTCTCTCTTGTGGCCTAGTTGTCCTAGATGAGAAAAGAATGGTAATGCGTGTGTGTGTGTGTGTGGCTGGCACACCTCCTGAAACCACTGAAGGGCCACATGGGAAGAGTTAGATTCAACCATGTGTCTATCTGAGTAATTAATTTCCTCACCTCACGTATTATGTGGATATTTTTAATGGAGCAGCTTTGACCATTTTGATTTTCTTTGTGACTACAGTCTCCTTGCATTGTCTTAATCTGGATGAAGTGATATTAGTTAACAACTTTACAGTTGCTAGTACACTGCATATGTTAGTATGAAGAATAGAGGACAATACCAGACTGCCTGAGTTTTCCTACTGTTGTCATTCGTTAGATTTTGGTCCTGGTTGTTTTGGTGCCAGCAAGTGTGGTTTAATACTACAGTTAAAGTTTTTTGAGCAGCTACTTTTTTCAAAAATACAACAGAAGAGCATCCGATATACCTTTTAACAGTACAGCCAAATGTAATTTTTTTTTAAATAGACAAGTCAGTCAAATAAAATGATCGCAACTGTCAGAGTTTCCACACAGCAGCAGAGGTAATGGGAGTTGCCGTAGGTTTTGAATCTAGTGTGGGAATGGCAGACCCCACCAATAACAATCAAAAGTTCGATTTACACTGGATAGCTATTGGTAAATAGTTTCAAAAACATGAATGAAAATCTTAAGATTATACCTTTAACACAGTTAATACACAGTCAGAAATCACCTTTTCTCCTTGCCCTTTTTACCTTTTCTTGCTGCTGCTCACCAATGTTCACTCTTGTTTTTAGGGGTAGTTAGGGCTTCCAACATCTTCCCAATCCTCAGTGCCATCCTGCTGCTGATGGGAGGGGTTTGCATCGCTGCTAGTCGTTTCTATAAAAGTAAGAGGAACATCATCTTGGGAGCAGGAATTCTCTTTGTGGCTGCAGGTAACATAAAATTATATGAACATCTATGTGTAGATGTGTATCTGTGCAGACATGTGTATGTGTGTGTGAGCACAGGTCTGTCTGCATGTGCGAGCGGTGATGTGGAGATCATTGCTTACCATAACAGTCAGTGTTTGGGGGGGGGGGGTGAGTTGTTTGGACTATTCTGTCAGTTTAATGGAGATTTTTACATTCACCCCCTCATCTAGCCAGTTCAATTTGTTAAGAGTGTCACAAATCATAATGTCAGACAAATTTCTTTATTAGTTCTGAAAGGTAGCTGCCAAAGTTTATTTACCTCTTTTGTAAATACACTATTTCTGTGCTGTCTCAGGTCTCAGTAACATAATTGGTGTGATCGTGTACATCTCGGCTGCACTGGGGGATATTTCTCCTAAAAAGGATGAGGATAAGAAGTGGCAGTACTCCTATGGTTGGTCCTTTTACTTTGGTGGTCTGTCCTTTATCATGGCGGAGATGGTGGGGGTACTGGCCGTCAACATCTACATCGAGAAGAACAAGGAGCTGCGCTGTCGCTCTCGCACTGACATTTTCAAGAGCACCACACATGCCATGCTCCGCCTGCCCAGCTACCGTTTCCGCCGCCGCTCCCGCTCCTCGTCCCGCTCTACTGACCCCTCCCGCTCCCGAGACCCCTCACCCGTAGGGGGAGGTGGGGGCAAGAACTTTGGCCTGCCCCCCTCTGCGCTACTTTCCCAAGGTCCTATCTCAGTGTCCACTCTACCAAACCCTCACTCTCGCTCCCACACAGCCCTGGCTGGAGGCGACATTTCCCTCTACACCTTGTCTCGTGACCCCAAGCTGGGGGGTTTGCCGCCCATGTATGGAACGGTGGACAGGGCCACGCTCTACCAGCTCCACAACTGCTTCCCAAAGGATGGGGGTGGTGTGGGAGGGGGAGTGATGATGAGTGGTACACTTCCCTCACTTAAATCCCACAATCCCTCAAATTCTTCCAACTCAAATGCACTGATACCCAACTCTGTTGGCTCTGGCCCTCCACCATTCACTTCATCTACAATAGACAGGGAGCGAGGGATGGGGACTCTGGACAGGCTGAAGGGAGACAGGGAGAGCAACTCTAACACTCTCAATAGGAAAACAACACCTGTGTAAAGCAATGTTATAAGAAGGGGAAGACAGGAGGAAGGGAGAGAAGGAGGATGGGAATTAATGAAAGAGGGAAAATAGAGAGGCAAACTGTGTTTGTGTTGCTCAACACCAGGCAGAAAGACAGGTGAAACACTATATTTCTCCCTCCATTTTCACTGTTATGTAGTCTACTCAGTCTCACTGAGAACAAAAAGAAGAAGAGTAATAACAGAATGATAATAACAACAACAATGAACTTTCACAATAAAACTATTTTCATATTTTAATGTGCTAGAAATGATTTATTTTGTTAATGATGAAACGCAATTAACCTTGGGCTATTGTGAAGATGTTTCACATATTTTTTGTGCAATATTAGTGCTAATTTAACCAGCTCATCATCAATGTCAAATTGTTGTTGTGATTATTCTTAGCGTTATTACACACTAGTTGTATTTGCAAATACTATAGTTTGGAATTAAGTTTTAATTTTTCTGAGTTTTTTTTTCACTCAAATTTTAGACTTTGATGACTTTTACTGTGAATTTCTTCCATGCAGAGCCACTGGGGCTGTCACTGAGCTGTGTGTAACTGTGTCAAAGTGTCAAGCATGAGTGTACACAATATATGGAAGAATGAGAGTCTGTGTTATTTTTTAACCCCCATATTATATAATTTTCATTTATAACATGAAGTCACTGTAAATTGTCTTCCAATACTGATACTGAAAGAAATGCAACAACCATATGAGTGACTGAAACAACTGACCAACTTCATTGTTATCACGAGTCTGACTTTTTTATGGGCCTCTGTTAGTCTTTCCATTCTAATCAGTGTTAACTTTAGTACTTGTAGCTATATTCATGGTGAAGATGTCTGTTCTTGGGCATTAACAGAAACCTCTGACTGGAGGAGGCATAAAAAAAGAGATGAAGAATAATACATTTGTACAGAATCAGGTTGCTGCCTGAGCCGAAAAACAAACAACAGAACTAATAATATTTTTATTAAGCATCCCAAAGTGGCACATGCAACTCATCATTTTCAGTGACAAAAACTACAGTATGTATATGTGGTTTGAGGGGGTTTAGAAAACACCATTCAAAAAAAGACTTTTGAAAAGATACCAGTACATTGTAATTTACCCATATATATATTTGTAAAGTACATAGAGACATGTTTTGGGACCACTGGTTACAATGGGTTGGCATTTTATGCAGTTTGGGTTTGTCTGAAGTGTTTTGTTCCTGGTGCCGTCCCTGGACTCTTGTTGGGTGGTTTCATCTACCCTACATGACCAATAAGAGAGTCACCACAAAGATTCTTTTCACTGTGCTTCCCCTCTGATCACTGACTCCTGAGTCTAAACTCTGACCTGTCCTGCTTATGTTGATGAGACTGTAAACACATGTAAACCCGAACCCTGCCACCCTCTCTTCAAAACTGTTCCCAGTGACTACAGGTCTGAGTTGAAACCACGGACACACCTGCTACATGATGTAATGATGAAACAAAACTACAGCCAGATGCTTCCAGATTCTATACATTTTCATTTCTTTGATTTCATTCCAGAAAAAGAAAAATGTGATAAAACTGCACACAGACAGCATTTATGTCGGCAATATAGTATGTACTTGCAAATAGACATATCTAGACAAATGATTATGGTTTATCTAAATGTGTGATAAACTTAAACACTGTACTGCACGAAGTTTATAAAAAAAATAACAGACATTCACAGACTATTGTCTTTTGTTCCTTTTTTGCATAGAAAGAGGCTGTGGTCTATAGATTAAGTATATAATTGAGTAGATATTTGAGTCAGGCTATAACAGTGATGGAAGAAATATTCAGCTTTATGTAAGTAAAAGAAGCAATGCCACAATTTAAAAATATTCTACTACAACAAAACAAATGCAGCAAAAATACTTAGATTCTTGAGCTTCACTGTAGAGAATAACATATGTGCAGTCTCTGATGAAGGAGAAAGTTTCTCTGTGCTCGCCTTATATCAGATTTTACATGCAAATGTTCAAGCATGGTTTTATAACATGAAGTTTGGAAGTCAGTTGTGGTTCAATATGCAACTTTCACAAGTGCGATTTTAAGCCTTCAGTGCACATACAAAGAACAAAGACTATAAGTGAAGGGAAGGAATTTTGTGTCCAGAAGTTAAACTTGTATAGTCACAGAGCCCTGGTTTTTCACTGAGCAAAAATTAGCATTTCCAATTTTAATAATTGTTTACCAGGTAAAACATATCAGACAGAGCAAGGTTTATATGGAGTGGAGTAAAAAGTACATTTGCTTGAGAAATATAATAACAGTACTTGTACTTTATTTTCTTCCACTGGGCTATAACACACATGATTTGTCATTACTGAGCAAACATTGCTCTTAGCAGTTACTTAAGCCCAAGGTCGTTCAGCTAGTCTTTGGTCTTTGGTGTGCTGTGATCCTAAAAAGACTTCAACCTTCTCTGTCAGACCTGAAGCTCATAATATTTGCAAATATATGGATAGTACCAGATGGGCGGTATTTGCCAAAGAGGATAATGAGAAAAGAAAGTGGCAGTTAATTCAGTGTACTCTTCTGTGACCACATCTTTTTTTTCCTGATGAGCCCATCTGGTAACTCATGCATGAACAGTTATAAATGATGTCATGGTCCACTTTGGTCACTTTAGCCCACTGGGCAGGTTTTGCGTGACCTCATAGGGATGATCACCGGCAGGACAGAGGTGGGAGGATCGAGCTGGAGGGGTGACAGGGTATTGCAGTGGCAAGAGGTTTCGAACCTCGCAACCATCCATAGCCTCTCCTTGTGGAGTTTGCATGTTCACTTCTTGCCTGTGTGGGTTTTCACTGGCACTGCCTCCCATAGCTCAAAGACAAGCAGGTTAGCAACTCTAAATTGGTGTGAATGTGAGTGTGAATGGTTGTCTGTGATAGACTGATGACCAACTCTTGCCCATTGTCAGCTGGAATTGGCTCTAGAGCCTGGACCCCCTCCACCCCCCGAGAGTCCTAACAGTGCTCCTGGGATTTAAGGACTTGTTGCCTTGCATGCCTATTATCAAACCCTCTGCAGTCTAGTTATAGTCCCAATGATGTAGCAATCCGAAACTCAAGGAGGAATGATGAGAGGCTGCCAAAGTAAACTCATGTCATCCACTCCACAGGTACCATTCCTTACAGCAGGTGTGAGTAATACCTTTTATAACTTTATGGCCACTAATATTTTAGCACTATATGGATAATAATTGTTAAGGTTTTCCTCCTTGGCGAGCTTCCACTTTCAGGCTATAGGTACTGTATCAAGAATTCTAGGAAGTCCGTTTCCATTTACAAACATGCAACCAGTGCCTATGCGTCATTTGTCACTGAGTGTTAGTAGCGCTATTAACAGCTATATATACAACCAGGATAGTGTGTCATGGATTCATCTTCTGATCACCTTGAGTTAAAGCATGTGTGGGTGCTTGCAGGTGAGCAAGTGAGTGAAAGTGACTGAATGCCACTCAACTCCCCAGTGGACTGAGTGTGACAGTCGTTACTGGGATGTCTCTGAACTGACTGGCCAGTTGTCTGTGTGTATGGGGGTTGGAGCTGGGAAGGAGGACTACTGATTGCTGGTCCCCCCTGTAGACAGCAGGGAAAGTGAGGCACTGAGGTCAAGGGTGGAGAAGTAGAGGAGGGCACAGAGGCATGAGGGCAGGCTGGGGATGCATAGTTGAAATTCAAGGGTAAGGTTGCAACCACTGCAGTGAAATGCATTTCAATGAGCACTGTCCTAATTATAGAGGAGCGGGGGTTTTTTGGAGGGGGGCTGTTTGCCAGAGAGGTTAGGAGTCACACTGTGAAAGGGGGAAAATGGGTGAATATCAAGCTTGAGGGCAGACAGGGTGTCACATCAGCAAACAAATAGAGGCAATTATTTTATGTCAAATCCCTTTAATGAAAAGTAAAACTGGTGCCACATACTGTACATACATATGAGTGGAACTGAACACAGTTTACATTATGTAGAATAGTAGAGAGGATGAGCATCCTGTGACAAAAATAAAGTACATTTATGGCTTATTTTTTGCAAATAAAGTGACTACAGACAACACAACAAACAGTGACCTGTTCATAAAGTATAAACACATTAATTTTATGTACATACAAAATGATATTTTAGTCTTTTCTCACAGTTGATTTTATTCAACATACATTAATATACTGAAGCAACCTTCTTACAATAGCTGTAAAACGCATATAGTAAGTAATAAATAATGGCAATGAAAGCTTTTTTAATCAAGAATTATGTGTTAAGAAGCTTCATAGGACTTATTGCTAGAATATTTATGATACTGTTTGACTCGGTTCATAAGCCAACATGTAGCAGATATGCCAAGTAACATTTTAAAGTACTCATCCATAATCTATTGACAGCATCAAAACAAGGCATATGTTGCTTCACTGACAACAATACATTCCAAAAGTATGTTAGGAATTTTCAACTATAGAAACCCATTTACACCTGGACAACTTAGAACTTATAATTTTGTATCATAAAACTTATAATTTTGTATCATCAGTGTGTCAGTGTCGTTGATTTTTTCTTTGTCTAACCTTAACCATTGTTGCCATGAAGATGAAGGCCCCTTAATTTTAATGAAATAGTCATTTCAACCCAAATCACAATGTTTCTCCAACCTCAGCAAGGTACTTATTTCAGCCCAAAGCATTCTCCTTCCTTGCAATCAAATTATTTTTGTGCCTAAACCTAAGCAAACTTTAACCATAGCACTGTCACATTGTAAAATGAATTTACTTTTCAACAGTGATTTGTAATGACTTTGGAAGTCACAGACAAATTATGTAGTTCTACCAATAGCGGAGTCAGATAAAAAAACAAAAACACTTAAGGGTAAATCTAGAGGGCATGGACAAACATGTTTTATCATATCAAACCACCTACAAAAGGTTTTAAAAAAAGAGATGTGTTTGTTACTTGTGCTAGCAGAAAGATTATATTTGTGTGGTTGTACAGCTACAGGTAGGCTAACAAGCTTATCTATGACCCCAGTAAACATTAAAACCTAAACAGTTAGCAGTAGTCCTGTCCCCCCTCCTTGTATTTTCTACTAAAAAACATAAAATATTTGCCTAACTCTAGAGGACTTCATCATGTGTGGATTCTTTTTCTGTATTTATTTTAATTAAGACGTAGTATGACATCTCTGACAAGTTCAATTCCAACAGCAGCCCTCCAAAAATGGGCTTTTATTCTGTCCTTGCTCTCAAACAGAACATCAAGAATACTATATGCATATTTCAGCATTCAAGTGTTAGGTGCCACTGTTCTTGTGTGGGAAACATTTCTGCCAGGGGCTGAAAGGAAGGGAGAGGATAATGAAAAGAAAGCCTCCAAAAATAAGAATGGCGCCAGCGGAGGCCATACAAGCTATGGACCAGGACAGCTTATGGTGCAAAGGTATGGAGTGGTCACTGGACAGCAGGGCCAGCATGGACTGGTGGAATATCAGGATGGAAAGAAGGACCAGTACACCTGCACAGAGGAGGGAAAGAACTGGAGATATCAGAGCAATTAAAACAAAACAAAATCAAAAAACATCAGGAGATCATTTAATACAATGTGCTCTCTAAGCTGTGGGAGACACATTTAGTAATGTCTACTCACTACCGATCATAAGGACCAAATAAACATTGCTAATCATCAGTCAGTTAGAGATTTGTCGTGGCTAAGTGTAAAGTTGTAACTCTCCAGAGTAAAGTTCTACCTGACAGGATGAAACAGAAGGAGGCTGGCTTGAGAAAGAAGTGCACTCCTTTGCTGAGTGACATGGCGATACAGATGGAGCCTGTGACCATCATGGTCAGGCTCAGAAGGGCCAAAATAGCTGCTGCAAGATTCAGATCTGTGAAGGACAGTGAACAGATGTGAAAACAGGAGAGAGATCAGTATACAAGTGCATGCAAGAATCTGTGAAAACTAATGTAGGAAAACTGGTATCCATAAGTTTTTACTGTTGAAATGTAGTGTGGAGACTGTAGTAGGACCAGACATTTGAACACTTGAGCCACCTGCCATAGTTTGAATCCACTGGGCTTTTACTTGTTGAACTTGATAGTTGAAATAGGAAAATACAAACAAGGAGTGTTGTGCCATTTCATGTGGTAGCTCTATTCAAAAAAAGATTTTATTGGCAGCGTAAACCTGAGCAGATGAAACCCAACAAGCAGCTCAACATTTCACAATAGTTTTCGCCAGTTTTGTTTTCTGACACACCATCACCCAGATATTATTATTATTTTATTAATTTAAATACAACTGAAACAGTTGTTGGCACAAAAGAGAAGAAGCCCCCCCCAAAAAAGGTGATAAACAACAGGAAAAACAGTATACGCTAGAAACACTTTGTTTTGCCCATCTACACACAGCCCCCCCCAAAAAAGGTGATAAACAACAGGAAAAACAGTATACGCTAGAAACACTTTGTTTTGCCCATCTACACACATTTTTAGCTTTGCTGGCTGACAGCTGATGTTACTGGGCTAAAACATGCAAAAACCACCAGTAAGGTCCTGTGAGCACAGCAGCGAGCATCTTTATTGATTTAGCCTCTGTGTAACTGTTAGTATTTATCTGTATGCACAACAAAATTTGTAGGGCAAAGGATAATGTCTCACTCTTGTTAGTGGTCTTTTTGAATATGACCGCGTTCTCCCCAGATGTGAAGAATTTGAAGTAGGTGCAGTTGGATTCTGTGGGTAAAAAGAAAAGATCAGATAAAGAGATCAAACCCATGTACACACTGACAAAAACAGACTTCAGTGGATGGTTGGTGGTCTCCTGTCATGTGCCTCCTGTGCATCCATGCATTCTGTTCTTTCAGGGATCATTCCTATTTGTATCAAAGTGGTAAGCATTAGCTGGTATAGCCAGAGACACCCAACTGCTACACAGACACACATTGCCCACCAGCGCACATATGGTGCTGCCAGAGAAGGTGAGAAACCGATAAACACAGAGGGTGGATGGGAGAGGGGGAGAAGGAGAGGTGTATAGGGCCGATGGAGGATATGTGGGGTGAGCAAAAGTTGCAGAGGGGATGCAAGAAAAGTGGATAGATGCTCAGAGAAAGAGATAGAGAAAAGGAGGAGTGAGTTGGAGGCAGATGGAGGGGTGGTGAGTGAAGGGGAAGAGAGAGGGGAGCCACAGATGGAGCAGGAGGTGAGGGGAACAGGAGATGTCAAGAGGGGGAGGAAACACAGAGGGGTTGGTTAATACTGCATTAGACATACACTCCCTCAGCCTGTCTGTCCCTCATCCTCATTTCCCCCTCTCTATATTTAGACAAAAACTGTGAAGTAGTCAGATTCCACTTGGCTTCACAAGCGCATAGTGATGACTTTCACCAACTGAATATTATGTGGTTCAGGATGACCACATGCTTGCACACACAAACACATATTCTCACACATTTCTTTCACACACAAATATGTTTGCGCACGAACACATTTGCAAACATTTTTTTATTGAAGCAGACACAACATTTATCAGCCTACTGATTTCTTTAACACATTATGCTATCACTGACAACTGATTTGCTCTGATTCGCTCCCCCTGCTGAGGCTATAATTATTGAGCTGTCATGTTTCTCTCCAGCAGGTCATGAGGATGGATGACTGCTCTTGAGATGACAGGCACGGCATCAACGGAACGCAAGTTGCTCGGGACAGGAGCCAGATGCATGTAAACAGGGACATGAAATGGAGAAGCAGAAATGGCAAAAAACAGTTGTTTTTCTCCAAACATGATGAGCCCACGGCCATCTGTGACAGGCGGCATGGGCCAATAGTGTGAGAAAAATTGTGAGAAGCGTCCTGGCTGCTCTCACACACCAACAGACTATCTTGGAGTCACAAAGATTTATATCTGCCAGCTAAAAGCAGCCAGTCCTTGACTGGATATAAAAAAACAATCCTGTTACACATCATCATTCAAAGTGATGTACTGTATGTAAGTAGTGGTTATGCACTGTATATACAAGATCTGTATCTCTCATGTATGGTGATATTCTTTTTTGTTTCTTCAGATCTAAGCGGCTTCCCTGAGACAGGGAAAAAGGAAAACTCCACCTGCCTTGCCCATCTATCTCTTAGCTCTTCCAGTACCTGCCTCAGTCCACCTTTAGAAGAAAAAAAGAATTGTGGCAATTACATGTATATGTTTTTTTTTCCTTAGTGAAACATCATGTGACCCCATTAATTATTAATTCATTCATACTGATGCACATACTGTAGCATGGAGGCAGCCACAATGTAGACATGCATTGCTGGGCAGCCCAGTTTGCAGAAAAGTGGAAAAGTGGATGTAACAAAACAAACACATTCCCTCCAGAAACCTCACCTGCTCACCTTGTAGGCAGCGCAGAGAACACACCGACACATGAACACAAACTCACACAGATACGCGGTAGCCTTCCACAGGCCATAATGGACCATCTGGCAGGTCTGGTTGCCACTGAAGTTCTTTGGTTGGGCCAGCTCCACCCAAAACTCTGTCCCCATGCCCAGGATCGTCAGGGTCACACCAATGATAGACACAAAAAATGCCAGCTTGATCTTTCCCTCCTGGCTGTCGCTCATCTTGTGGGTTCTCCTCGGTCCTCTTCCAAATTTCATTCCACCCCAACCCCAACCTTGTCCAGCTCCTGCCACCCCAAGTCGACCCTCTTCATCTTGTTGCACAAAGAAGTTGGACCACATAGTGATCTTAACTGGCCAGACACAACCAGGAAGTGCAGGAGAAAGGACTGGATGCTTGGGTTAAAGATTAGGGAGGAAATAATAAATTAAAAACATCTAAGGAAGCCTAAGGAAAGAGAAATCAGTTGTGTGGTTAAGGTTGGATAGGATGGGCTGGAGGTAATGATAAAATGGGGAGCGATGGAGGCAGGACCAGGAGACCCAACTTCTGTTTTCCATTCAGTCCTCTGAAACAGAGAGATGAAACAGAAAAATGAAAGACGAGCCAGCATATGCTTCATGAAACAAAATTGTTTCATCACTGGCATAAAATTTAATTTCCTACTGCTTTATCGGCATCTACAGTGTTCCCTCCCTAAAAGCCATATGACGTGCTCTCAGCCAACAGTAGATAAGCCATATGGTGCTTCCCTGAAAGGCAGATTTTGCTTCAGATGAAGAAACAACTGGGCTGGATGGACCAGTGGAGTTGGTTGTTACGGGGTCAAGGTGATAGATAACACAGCCGCGCCAGTCTGGACCACCCGTCTTCTATTTTCCCAGAGGAGTTGACAACACAGCTCTTCTCCAAGCAGGTACACTAGCTCTGGCTTAGACACAGATCCCATTTGATCTGAGGGGATAAAGGGTTGCCACAAATACCTCCCATCCTGCATTACGTGTACCAGCAAATAGTGGGAATGTGCAGTCATGGCTGTTGCTTTTTGAGTATGCATTTGATCACTGTGGGAGGCATATGCACTGTGGGTTAGTCCAGGTTTATGAAGTTGTTTCTGTTAAGTATATGCCCTCTGGAGTAGTTTAAACAACATCAGTGACTGGACACAACAGTGTCACCGCTCTGTACAGTGTGCATGATGAGAGGTGATAATTCAAGACTGAGCCCCATGAGAGAGTGGGGGCTGCAGCATTTAAGTCTGCTGTACAATCCAACAAGTTGCATAGCTGAGACAAGAGGCCTGGGTAGTTAGGAAGGCAGCACCAGCAGGCCACATACAGACAATGGATAACTAAATTCAGAGCTTTGTGCTGAAAGCATCACAGCTTTTATCTAAGCAAGGCACTACATGATCCCACAGCTACTTTCCATACAGTGTTTTGGAGTAGTGCTCGACATGAAAATTCAAAAGCTAGAGTTTTGCAGTATACAAATACTCTTATCAATGTATTTACCTGAGGTGGAGGACTTACAGTAAGTCACATATCTGAGGACTTGAGACTTGCTTGACTAACAATGGTAAAAGACTCAACTTGACTTAGACTTGAGACAGTTGACTCAAAATTAATTCATTTTTTAATTAAACATTTGCATTGTTCTAGCTATTGATATTTTGTTTTTTTAAACGCAATTGGGTAATTTCTAGTGCAATGTGCGCAAACCTGGCAACCTACCAGAACGCGGTAGATCACGAAAGGGCATTGGGACGTGGCGGGATGCGGTTAACATGGAAGGGTGCAGTTCGAAAACAATAATATCTAGATTCAAGGATTATGTTGTCAGTGGCGGTAATAAAAAGAGAACAGCGGCATGCAGTGCAAAAATAAGCAACAGGACCACCACCACATCCGCATTCATCGGTCGCTACAACACTCACAAAGAAAGGTAAATATGTGAATGTCTTAGCAGCTAACGTTAGCTAACTTGTTGGCTAGGCAAACGTTAACCAGAAAGCTAACATTAAGTTCAGGCTTTTGGCTTCGAATCACGCTTCGAGTTTCTGATGCTCATGAAAGGCATGCCTTTTATTTAATAGCTGTGTTAATAATCACAGGGGGCTTGTGAAAATTTCACTTAAATACGTGATATTCTCGTAACATTAGCTGTTATTAGCCCTGACAATGACCATAAAGTAGCCTCTAATTTGAAATAAAAAGAGAGAAGGAATGAAGAATACAGATCTTGTTGACTATATTTATTTCAATATAACAGTGTTTATTTTATGCCCTGGTAGGTGTCCTAAAATTGTGTTGTAAATTTTTGTTTTCAGGGTTATATTACAGTTTCAGAGCCCCACTCGTTGTTTATATAGGAGGATTTGTTTGCTGCAAAACGTCAGTAAGATTTATAAGGTGTAAGCAGGCTGCAACACTTTTTGTTAATGATTAAAATAAAACAGCTTTTTGTGATCAGTGTCTTGTAACCGATTTTAAATGTGGAAAATGGGGTAGAGCAGCAGAATTTTGCATGACTTGATTTGAAGTTTAAACTCAGCTTGCTTGATTCTCACCACATTAACTTGGGACTTGCTTGAGACCTGAAGGTAGGACTTGAGACTTGCACATGTGCGACTTACCCCCGGTATTTACACAACCAGAAATAAATAAGATTATTGACAGTAGAACTTGGAAATCAGTTAGAGCTGATGTGGTTAGTTCGTTAATTGGACAGAAAATGAACCAGCAGCTGTTCAAGTCAAGTCAGTTTTTATTTATATAACCAACCAATCTATCACATACACAATTGTTGAAGAAAATCAGATGTTACAATCAGCCCCAATGCCAAATGAACATGTGCTAAGTTAGATTTTAACTACAACTTATTTGGAAACAGTAGTTATAAGATGATATCATCACAATACAGCCACATTCGATAAACTGTCTTATCAGCTTATCACCTAGCACTAACTGATTGTAACCATTGCAAAGGGATAAACCGTTGTATTATCAAGAGCAAACCAAAAGCAGGTACAGTATGTGCATGTCTCTGAAAGATTGGAATAGCACCGGCACCATAGAATACTTGTCCAACATTAAGTGCAATAAAAAAACCAAGACAGCAGCTGTTGAAAACCACATTAGTAGTCAGAATTACAAACCTGGATCACATAACCACACAATGATCAGAGAGGTCAGAGCATGCCAGGCTACTCTACAGGGGATAAAAGACGATTGCTTAGTTTGCTATGTGTTTTTGTGAATTACAGTGCAGCAGAAACTGTGGTGCACCGATTTAGGTTCTGTATCCGTTGAGCAGAGGATACGCTTGTACACACGGGTGCATTTTATGTTGAGAAAACCCTTTCTACCATTTCAACACCGAAAGCCACTGGCATCTGTGTGTCCTGGGCATAAGAAAGCAATAAAGATGCACTTGAGTTAAAAGAAGAATAAGTCTGACCTGTTTGGTGTATGTTGCTCAGTTCAGGAAGACGTCACGCTTGAAACTTCATAGAGCTGGGAGTGGTGATGAGAGAGAAGGGGGAGAAAGAGGTATGTAAGGGTTATGGAAAGTGAGTGTAACAGGGGAGGGGGCTGCAGTCTGGTTGGTTAGTACTGTTTATGATTAAATGTGTCTTTGCCCCTCACGCTGTGCCTGCAGCTAGTGTTGAGTCTCAGCAGCAGCACCCTGTTCCTACTCTGTACATGTTTGTAATCTTAAATCAGTGAGCAGAGGTGCTGCTGGGTGGTTTGTTTGCATGACGACAGTCCTCACAGCATAATTGAAAACATGCCTGTATCTGTAACAGTCTTGCTGTGTGTGTATGTGTGTGTGTGTGTCTATTTTAGACAGCCACCTGTTAATGACATTAAGTGACGGTGAAGGAGGAGCCCGTGTTTGTATGAGAGGGGCCAGGACAGCATTTTACAGCAACACACTACATTTTGAGGAAAGTGAAAGTCTGACAGAGAGACAGAGAGCTGAAACCAACAGCAACATTTGCTGTGTTGAGAACAAATTTGTCATTGAACCTGAAGTTGTGCTAGAAATTTTTACTGGAAGCAAAAGTGAAATGAAGAGACCAAAAGAACAACAGACAGGGACACATATTGAGATATGAAAATCATGTGAAAGAGAGAACAGTAAAAATGTGGAAAAGCGGGGTAAAAAGGTGACAGAACACTGATATCTGAGGTAGATGCAGCAATGGACTGCACTGGCTGAAAATGAAATGATTTAGAGAAGAAAATGAGCTGCAGTGCCCTTTCCTTCCTCACTCAACACAGTCCAGAGAGATTTAAGACTCACCCTGGTCTTGTGGAAAGCTTTCCTAGTGGCCCAGCCCTGCTTGGCTCTTCTACAACGAGGTTTCATACGTGGCACAGAGAGAGAGGGGCCAACTGCCAGCCATGCTCCTGCTCCAGGAGGGCAAGGAAGGGGGATGGGAATGGAGGGGCAACAGAGAGGGGGATGCAAACTCAGAGTGAATCAGAGACAGACAGAACAGGACACAACTGGAACTAAACAAGCTATAGGCTGTTACAGGAAAATAAACACTTCCAGTGTCCAGAATAGTTTCATTTGGAGAAAATGCAGTGAAACCACAGAGCCAATTTTAGTGTAGTTTGCAAATGGAATTTTTCTGCAGGAAATTGGTGGGTACATAACATCCATGATGAATCCATTCATCTGGACAGCAGCTATCTGCTTTAATACACCTGTGTGATTAACACTAAATTAACACTGACTTTACTTTTATGCAGCCTGTATCTGCTCCTCCATCATATGAGAAGTGTCTGCACCCAGTAAGAGGCCATTAGTTATCTGCAGTACGCTTATGTCTCCAAATTACTCGTGTGCCTCTGTCAGCAGTACTAATGCTCAAACACACAGAACTGCACTCATGTAGAGTAACATGGGGACAGCTGCAACACTTTTTACGCTTAGTCTCTGACTAACTGAGCTATGTACACATTTTTAATATATTAAACATATATCTGCCAGCTTCTTAGCCATACCATTAAAATATGTGTAATTATAATAAAACAATTTACATCTGAAGAGAAGAAGTCAGATGTTGCGACTGACCTCATGCCTGGGGACAGTTGCACTGGTCTATAGGGACAATTGCAAAATCCATTCAAATATATTAAAATGGTACAAATTAACTTACATGTACTGTATCTATAAAAATCACTGTTTTTTTTGTTCTTCTGGGGGTTCAGTAGCCTACATTGCTCTCAGTTGGTGTTTGATGCCTAACTTCTGTCTTAAAAGAAAAAAAGGTACAGGGTGGTGTGGCAAATACCCAAATTCTTTGCCACTGACATAGCTTTAAGATGGCGGCGCGAACGAACACAGCGGCCTCTCTCTCTCTATGCTGTGTACCTAAAAATGTGTGTTATAGTGTGTGTTCGTGTTTATTGTGTTTCAGTTCTGGTGCACGTAGTTCAGCATCTACGTTGCTGCCAACATACAGTCTCCAGTGCCCTGTGGATATAGGATACAAGTCAAAACATTTCAACTTGGACCAGGAAGTTACAGAGGAACTTCAAGGCCTGGGGCTTCTTTGCCGGATTCCTACATCATCGAACATGCCAGCTGCATCACCCCCTGAGAGGAGGTGCCAGAAGCGTTGCGAGTGTAAACAGAAGCGGGGCAAACTTGGAGGCATAGCAGGCTAGGCTAGCAGCTAGCTCACACAGACCCGCGATACCATCCCTCATTATGGCCAATGTACGCTCACTGGACAACAAAATAGACCACATACAGCTCCTGAGATCTGCCCGGCATGATGCAAGGAACTGCTGTGTTTTCATCTTTACGGAGACACGGCAAAACGACAACATCCCGGACTCCACTATCCAGCTAGCTGGGCTAACATGCTACCGAGCTGACCGAGTCCTTGTGGAAGGAGGTAAAACATGTGGAGGGGGAGTTTGTGTTTACATCAGCAATGCTTGGTGTCGGGACGCTGCTGTTATTCATAAACACTGTTCTCCAATGATGGAGTTTATTATCATCAAGTGTCGGCCTTACTATTTATGTAGGGAGTACTCATTAATTCTGTTGATAGCTGTGTACATTCCTCCCACTGCTAACACCAGAGATATGAGTGAGCAACTAAATGAACTCTACCAGGCCATCAATGAACAACAGACGGTCCACCCAGGCGGATTCCTCATCACAGCTGGGGACTTCCATCACGTGGATTTAAAGGTTTTACTGCCCAATCTGCATCCCATGTGGACTTTCTGATGAGAGGAGACAACACACTGGACTTTGTGTACACTGCATGCAAGGGAGCATACAACGCCTCCCCCCTCCCCTACCTGGGTCTCACATCACCATCATGCTGAGACCTGCATACAGACCCAGAGTGAGAGTCATCAGAACAACACAAAAGGAGGTACGTGTGTGGCCGGAGGGGGCTTCTTGTGCTCTGAAGGACTGTTTTGACACTACAGACTGGGACATTTTCAAGCAAGCAGCCACTCACAACAATCACATAGATATAGAGGAATACACTGAGGCCGTCACAGCATACATCAAAGTGCATTGATGATGTCACTTACTGCAAAAATATTACTGTTCATGCCAACCAGAGGCCATGGATGACAGGTGAGGTTCACAGACTCCTGAGGGCTCCGGGATGCAGCCTTTAGCGCCGGCGACACCGCAGGCCTAGCAAGTAAGAGCCAACCTGTCCCGTGGAATCAGGGAGGCAAAATGCCAATACAGCAAGAAAATATCTGGACACTTCAGCAACACTAGAGATGCACAGAGTCTCTGGTGAGCCATCCAAACCCTCACCCCAGATTTGTGATAGTGGCATCTCTGTGCTGAACACCCTCAGTGACTTTTTTGGCCACTTTGAAACACAGAACAACACACCAGCACTGAAGACCACCTCGCCCCCAGGCGAGGAGATTGTGTGTCTGTCCACAGCCAGCGTGAAGAAGACCCTCTCCAGGATTAACCCACACAAGGCAGCTGGACTGGATAACATACCTGGTCATGTTTTAAAGGACTGTGCCGAGGAGCTCAGGGATGTCCTCACGGACATTTTTAATATCTCCCTGAGCCAAGTGGTTGTTCCCACATGTTTCAAGGCCGCCACAATATTTCCACTTCCAAAGAAGCCCCACCCAACCAGTTACAATGACTATTCGCCTCTAGC